CATACTACACGCTATTCACTTTAAATACATACAACACGCTATTCACTTTAATACATACTACACGCTATTCACTTTAAATACATACTACACGTTATTCATTTTACATGCATACTACACGCTATTCACATTAAATACACACTACACGCTATTCACTTTAAATACATACTACACGCTATTCACTTTAAATACATACTGCACGCTACTCACTTTAATACATACTACACGCTATTCACTTTAAATACATACTACACGTTATTCACTTTAAATACATACAACACGCCATTCACTTTAAATACATACTACACGCTATTCACTTTAAATACATACTACACGCTATTCATTTTAGTTAATACTACACGCTATTCACTTTAAATACATACAACACTATTCACTTTAATACATACTACACGTTATTCACATTGAATACATACTACACGTTATTCACTTGAAATACATACTACACGTTATTCACTTGAAATACATATATACTACACGTTATTCATTTTAAATACATACTACACGCTATTCACTTTAAATACATACTACACCCTATTCAATTTCAATACATACTACACCCTATTCACTTTAAATACACACTACATGCTATTCACTTTAAATACATACTACACGCTATTCACTTTAATACAAATTAGACACTATTCATTTTAAATATATACTACACGCTACTCACTTTATTACATACTACACGCTATTCACTTTAATACATACTACACGCTATTGAATTTAATACATACTACACGCTATTCACATTAAATACATACTACACGCTATTCACTTTAATACATACTACACGCTATTCACTTTAATACAAATTAGACACTATTAATTTTAAATACATACTACACGCTATTCACTTTAAATACATACTACACGCTATTCACTTTAAATACATATTACACGCTATTTACTTTAAATACATTCTACACGCTATTCACTTTCAATACATACTACACCCTATTCACTTTAAATACATATTACACGCTATTCACTTTAAATACATACTACACGCTATTCACGTTAAATACATACTACACGCTATTCACTTTAAATACATATTACACGCTATTCACTTTAAATACATACTACACGCTATTCACTTTAAATACATATTACACGCTATTCACTTTAAATACATACTACACGCTATTCACTTTAAATACATACTACACGCTATTCACTTTAAATACATACAACACTATTCACTTTAATACATACTACACGTTATTCACATTGAATACATACTACACGTTGTTTACTTGAAATACATACTACACGTTATTCACTTTAAATACATATATACTACACGTTATTCATTTTAAATACATACTACACGCTATTCACTTTAAATACATACTACACGCTATTCCACTTTAAA